TATATATATATATATATATATATATATTTTATTTTTTTTTTTTTTTTATTTATATATATATATATATATATATATATATATATATATATATATATATATATTTATATATTTTTATTTTTTTATAAAAATATATATATATATAAATAAAAAAAAAAATAATAAAAAAATATATATATATATATATATATATATATATATATATATATATATATATATATATATATATATATATATATATATATATATATATATATATATATATATATATATATAGACATTTTTTTAATTATTCAGAAAAACCTTTAAAATCTAATTAGTTTATTAATTAATTTTCATTTTATTCATATAATTACATATTTACTTAAAATACTGATATAACAAAAAAGAATAGAAATAAATGTAAAAATTAAACATGATGAAAATAGATTAGAAAATAACTATTAAGTAAAAATATTTAAAAATAATACAATTTTAAAAATAAACAAATGTGGCTGGAAGGACATCCGCCACATTAAAAACATATACCAGAGTAAATGGCAGTTCATTCCTCTGTGACGAACCCAAAGAACCAATGACTACACCGAAGAAAATTGAGTGAATCAAAATAAAATAAACATTTCTTTGTTAAATCCTCTTCGTTCAAACAATGAATTTTAAATGCTAGCATATGCGCAAAAACAAAATGATTATTTTTCTTATCAATTCTCATCAATTATCCTCCAAAACTGTAAATATGAAGACATCTTTCTTTGTGCAAGACATGAGTTTGTGTTAGTATAAAACAAAAGGAGAAAATACAAGAAGGGCAACACAATGTTATTTGAATATTAGATTCATTAACAGATTTAAATCACTAATCCTCTGTAATCTGTTCTGCGGAGACAAAGACATAAACAAACAACCAGAAAAAAAGGCAGAAAGACAAAAGAAAAACTGGAGAAACGGAGCGAGAAATGGAGAGCAGTGGTCATGTCACATATCAGGCCTTTTAAGTCTTCTGACAGCATTAATGAAGCGGAAAGTTTTCCTGTAAATCAGGATTGGGTCCTGCCAGAGCTGCTTTCTCCAACAGCCCCAATCCCACCATTCACTTTTCATCCAGTCAGCCCGGCTGGCCCTCTGGCACCGGGCCCTTTGTCTTAATTACATGTGGTTAGTGGGTCACATTACTAGCGTACAGTGGGCTGCGGTGGGATGTCCTTCATTTGGAGGCCCTTCAGGGTTTTCCACACACTCCCACCTAGATCAATAGGTGGAAATCTCTGACTTTCCTCCTCTTTCTGCCTCTTTGTCATTCTGTCTCTCCTTTCCTCTCCTCCTCCTCGCTCTCACTTGTAAATCATTTCAGGGCTGTGTGTTCTCTCTGTGAAGGTCGCAATCCTATTCACAAAGACACAAAAACGGACACGCATACTTTTCTCCGATGACTGAAATCCCTGACGGATGCGCTGAAAAGACTGATGACTCTTCAGCGAAGGGTTTAGCCTCTCAACTAATCTCTGATACTCTTGTGCGCACACACAACCATGTTCACTCAAGTACACACATACAAGTGTATCCTTTGGCTAACCGCATTTACAGTTCTTTGTGTTTTTGTATAATAGGATGGGGTGCATTGTATGATATGATGCTCTTTTTATTAGTGTGCTCAACTGTAGTCACATTTATTTGTTGACTTATATGCTTATTTAGATATTTACTTATTTTTGTACTTCATATAAATCACATCTTTTTAAGTAAAATATAAATAAGTTAATTAAATAACAAATCAAAAAAAAGAAAAAAAATATATATAGTAAAGTAAAGTAAAATATATAAAGCAAAATAAAATAAATAAATATAATAAATAAAATATATAAAGTTACATAAAATAAAAATATATAATAAATGAAATATATAAAGTTAAATAAAATTAAAATACAATAAATGAAATATAAAGTAAAATAAATAAATAGAAATTTAATTAAATATAAAAATATAGCATAAAATACACATAAAAATTAAATATTAATACAAAATAAAAAATAAATAAAATGAATGAAAATCAAATTTAATTAAATTAAAGAAAATAAAATCTTATAAAAATATAAAAAAATTGAAAATAAATAAAAAACAATTTATTAAATAAAAACTATATAAAATGATAAAGTAAAATTAAAAGAAATAATAATTTAAATAAATACATAAAGTAAAATAAAATATAAAAC